AGCCACTCAAGTTTGTATATCTCTTCCGAGTTCTTCCTGTTTGCTGTTTGCATTTTATACTCTATATTGGGCTGACCCATGCTGGTATATTTCCATTCTTTTTTATTAACTTGGGGACCAACAGCTACACAGATAGTTCCTTCACCCAGCTGATACAGCCATTTGCCTAGAGCTGGTTCCCTTTCTGTTGAGGTAAGTTCACAGCTGCGCAACAGCTATGCTTGGCAACTCCCACATTCTGACATCTCCAGGGCTGTCTGGCTCACCTTGCCTGAATACTGTGGGATGCCCACCGCGTTATTACACAGTGGTCCTGGTTCCCCGTCCCTTAGTAACCAAATGGCCCTTGCTGCTCCCTGACCGTCTAACTCTATCCTGACTGGATCTGCACAGGTAGTGAGAAACAAGAGAAAGGATTGAGTGAAGGGAAACTGATATAGGTAGGGATTGAGGTGGCTCTGGACTTCTTCCTGGCCTATATGAGAGCTGGTTCCTCCACTAGCACCCAAGATAGCTTCATTGTCTCTGACTGCTGATAAGCCCCCTCTAGAACATGAGGCATCTTCATTCATCTGCTGCATTACCTGTGCTGCCCCTGTGGGAGCTTTCTTTGGACCTCTCTCACCTTAGTGAGGGTCAAATGTCCTGCTAGGCTTCAGTCACTAGGTCCCTCTGAGCAGTCCTTTGCCATGTTAGTGTTCTTGGGCTTTACGTGATTAAGAAAAGGGTTTTTTTTAAAGGGTGAAGGAGGCAAATAGGTCTGTCTCATGGTTCAGGCGCCAGAAGGGTGCCAATGAGAGATATAATCCTGACAGGGTTTGTTCTTCTGTATTTCTTTGTACTCTTGTCCTGGCACTCCTACAGGAACTGATGGTCGGATCTCTTCCTGCAATTAACCATTACTAGGTTTGCTTGTTATTTCATATAGCACCTCATTCTGCTGTAGTTTTATTTACAGGGCTAATCCTAGGTGAGGATCAAGATTAAAGAAGAGTAAATCAGAGGTGTGATGCTCCTGTGATTTGTTTTGCACACTTGCAAATACTTAGAGATGCAACTAAGAATTTTGCTTGGGAATAACTGAAGAGGGCTTCTCAATGTGTTGTCTTTTACAAATCCTGCTATACAGGAATTCTGTATATAATTGTGAGGGGAAAAGTTCATTAAAGTATGATATGCGCCTGCAGTTGTAGTGTAGGTCGTTTGAAGGCTAATTTCCCAGCGATTGATTGTCTTGCATAAGGGTTTTAAAACTTGTTCCCTTTATCCATGTAAAGCAACTCCAACTGATTTCAATTTTCGTTTCCTCAATCGTTACATTTTTCTTCTCTTTCAGTGCACAGGAATGGGAGTCATAAAGATACCATAACGTTAACAGATTTGTTTCAGAGTTCATGAGGTCAAACTTGTTGGGTCTTCCCATATGACTAACAGCGTAAAAATCTGGAATCGCCTCAGTTTATCTCGAGCATAAAAAGACTGCCACTGAAGAACTGCACATCAATAAATCACCTCTGATTTATTTCTTATTGGGTAACATGTTCTAATTTCTCCATAAAAGCAGATAAAGGTAACTCTAATTAAAATGTCTATTTCTTTCTCTACTATTTGTGTTAACATTCATGCTATTGCATATACTCCTTTCATAATACTATAATTTTTCAGTAGTCTACAGTTACTGTTTAATTTAAAATACCCCTGTGATATTAACTGTATAATAAATTACAATTCAAAATATATCTGCCATTTCATCCATGAGGAAGAATAATAAAGCCATAATAAAAAGGAATCAAGTTTAGCAATATGATCATGTAGCATGAGGTTTTTATAGACTCTCTGTGAATTGTAAAATCTATAAATTTGTTATATTGTGTAAAATTGTAAAAAATAGTAATGAAGGGGTGAGGGGAGGAAAAAAAGCAGCATTAGCAGCCAGGTTTAACCCTGAAATTGGTGGCTTTTCCATTGTTTTTTTAATAATTTGAAAAGAGTATACAGATTATGCATATGAAATCGTGGCTTTTCTTATTTACTACAGGTACTAAAGGTAAATTGAAGACAGAACACTGTGGGCTTCCACTTTCCAGCCCACAGTATTTGTAAGTGAAGAAACTCTAAAACCTCATCACCTCTCTCTTTGCCTTCCTTTGTTCACACCAGTACATACTCTATCCTTATTTGTCCAAAAGCTTTAAACAACTTCTTTATTTGGCTTTTTTTCATGTATCTGGTTGCAATCGAAGGTAGAAGGATGTGCAAACATGGGGAGGATAGGACATGAATTCCTCCTTGCAACCATTTTTTTCTTGTTGCGTCATCCTTCACACTACACTGGTGGGATATAAATTCAAAACCTTAATTTTCTTGTAGGCTAATGATAATTTATTTAATTGTACTAGTCCAATACTTAATATTTCTTTGGACAGCAGACTGCACAAGGCATTTGTGATTTGATTTAAATAAAACACTCTTAAATAAATTTTTATTTAAATAATGGAGAGAGGAGGAAAGATATACACAAAGAATATAGATTTCTGAACCAGGTTCAAAACAGGTACAAATAATTATTGCTTTAGAAACCTGTCATTTTGGAAGCTCAACACTGGTGAGCCTGTTTTCTTGTATTGCGGTGGTCTAGACACAGCACAACAAAACGTACTTGATATCCCCTACATCTTGCTGATGTGTAAAATTTGGGGGCACTTGTCATCCCATGATGGAGGTGCTTCTCTTTAATTGTGTGGGTCTCTAAAACAGTAGTGAAAGGGCAGCTGTGATTGCCCCACAACTGTTCCAAATCAGTCATCAAGTTTTGGAGCACAGGGCCCTTGTCTTCCACATGGTCATAATCTCCTCTTAGGGTGCTCCAAGAGCTAAGATTATTACAGCTGAGCATCTAATGTCCCTTGGGATATACAACCCCGGGATAGGCTGTAAAGATTAGCCACACCTGACTAATAAATCCTGATACCATCACCCAGTCCCCACTGAATGCTTCTGGAAGATCATAGAAGCATGGCATGGTTTGGATTGGAAGGGACCTTTAAAGATCATCTAGCCCAACCTTCTTACAATGGGCAGAGATACATTCCACTAGGTCAGGTTGCTTGAGATAGGGAGCAAGAGATTTGAAGCAGCCTCAAGTGCTATGCCATGTCTCTACATGCTGACCATATCTTCCTGCAGGAATTTGAGGTTTACCAGCAACTGATGGCAAGCCCAAAGGCCTGGCTTCATGAGATTCAGCTCAGGTCTTGAGATGGCCCAAGCTACCTGCCAGGAACTAGCAAGACAGGCTGCTCTACAAGGAATGACAGTCCAAAGGTGATCACAGGACAGGGCCCAGCATCCAGGAAAGAAAATTCTGTTGACAGTCCCAGCGGTCACCAAGAGGGCTAGGCACATGCCAACACAACTCAGGAAAGGGCTGGTAGCCATGATTTGAGCATAAATGGAGCCACCACTGCAGCTATGCTGATAAGTGTGCACTGGTATGTACCTTACACTCCATATTAACTCAGCGCAACCTGGACAATGTAACATCAACCAAGCAACCACAGGAACTAGCTCCAACTAGCCTGCACCTTCTAATTGGAGCTTAAAACCTAGGCCAAACATGTCTTGAAGGTGTTAACATCAATGATCACAGATTATTTTAACACTTTCCAGGCCCTTCAGTCACTCATTGCTACTCCTATCCTGAAAAAGTTGCACAAAGATTTGGGAAAAGTTTAAGGGGTGGGGAAGAAACACAAATGCTGGAACAGGCAAGAGATGATATACTGAGGCTAGCCAGTTCTTCTGACATGAACAGAAATGTTGGATATAGGGCCCATGAAACCACCTGCTCCCAACTTATAATGAATAGGCATTATAGCACCCCAAATTCCTGATTAAAGACAAGGACAGACTTTGAGGATCTTTGTTTATTTGACTTTAAATAAAAGCCTTCTACTGAGACCTAGGCTGCAGTCCTAAGCAACAAGACGACTGGCCTCTTTTTGTGAAGTACTAAATGTGAAAATGCCTGAAACGATTTTAAATACAAATTGCAGAATTTAGACGACAAAATTGCATTTTATAGCTAAAACATGATTTCAAGGAATGAGGAAGTCAAATTACTGTCATATGTGCAGTCACTACATTAGGAGGAAAGTATCCCCCAGCTAAATTATTCAGAAAAGTTACACCAAAAAGTTACCACTAAAACAGGCAAAATAAAATGTCTTTATTGTCTGCTGTGTTAACACCTTTTTCAAGTGTGCCATCATTTAGAATGAAATGTTAAATAGAGGGCATATCATTTAAGTCTCTACAAAGGAAATCTCAAAGTAAAATTACACCCCCAAGCACCAGAGATATCTGCATAGACACAGGATTTCAGTACTGTTTTTACGTGAGGGAGTCTGATGTCCCTGGTTTAATTCTAGTCTGTTTCCTTCTGCTCACACCTGTACACTTATGACACCTAGTGTGACTACATGATGCAATTTAAGAGCAGTAAAAGGTCGATCATTTTTAAACCATACAATTCACATGCCCAACAGTGCTGTTTTTTTAAAACATGCAGTTGGCTGGAAAATTCTCTCCATACTTCATCTGAGATATCTTTTTTACTTAAAAAGTATTCTTGAACATTTTAAATACATAAAGTGGCACTTAGCCATTTACAAAATGTGGATTTGTACAGGACCGCATTTTGTATAGTATTAAAGCAAAAGGTTCAGTAATTTCCTAGTAAGTTAATGCCTAGTAAGTTATAACTATCCATTTTTCCAAGGCACCGTACACAAAAGAACTGCAATGGCAGACCAGCCTACCACATGAAAATTTTAGCCTTCTGATGAGGCACTGGGGGCCGTTTTGCCTGTTCTTTGTATCAAGTGGCAGAAGGCAACACAAGAATAACAACACAGGAATTCGTATGTCCCAGATTCTTCATCATAGTCACAATAAATACCAGCCCCCTACACAAACGAGAGATACAAAGCAGTAAAATATAAAATGGGAATATAATTTTATTGTGTTAATCTGCATATGTATTGGTACAGCTGTTCCTTGAATGCTTCTGAGGAAAATTTTTCCGTAACTCTGGCTCTCCCAGCTGTTCCCATTGTGTTCTTTAAGAGAGGATCTCTTACAATTTTTTCCATAGCCTCAGAGAATTGTGTTGGCAGAGGATCGCACAAAAAACCTGTAACATTATGCAAGACTGATTCTAAAGGACCACCTGAATTAACTGCTATAACTGGACACCTCATATACATTGCCTCCAGAGGGACAATGCCAAAATGTTCATTGCTTGGTGTGTAAAGCACACATACAGAGTTATTAAAAAGAGCAATTTTCTGTTCATCTGAGAAGGATCTCAGAAAAGTGACATGGTCATTAACATTAAGCCTGGCTGCAAGTCTCCTCAGCTCTTCATAGTGTTCCACATTTTCCAGAACTCTTTTGTCATAACCACCTGCCATAACCAGGTGAACTTCATTCCACTCATGAGAATCAAGTCTTCCTCGAAGCTCACGCAAAGCTTCAAGAGCCAATGGTAGATTCTTTTTTCTCTCATACCTATTAATGGAAAGAAACAAGAACTTTTTCTTTTTTGGTATCAGGTCAGCTGTGTCTGCAGGAACAACCGTTTCAAAGCTACTGATGTTGAGCGATGGGTAGAGGACATCTGGGTTTATGTGAGATAAGGACTTAAATGTGTCCTTGAACACACTGGCGGTAAACCTGCTGTTCACAACAATACAGTCTGCCATGCCAGTCGTGTACTCTTCTAGCCAGTCTAGCGGTAATCTGTAGATGCGCTTTAGGACAGATTCTCTCTTGGTCAGAAGCTGATCAGGAAAGTGACAGTAAAACAAAACCTTCTTACGAGTTCTGGCCAGTCTGAGTACAGGAATGCAAGCAGACACCTAGTGCAACCAGGAGAGACAGGACAAGAAGAGACAATCATCATTTGGTTTAGTGCTGCTGCTGTGCACACATGATTTCAAAGCCATACCCTGAATGCCAGTCTTGTTACAAGCCAAATACCTTAAAATCATAGAATAGTTAGGGTTGGAAAGGACCTTAAGATCATCTACTTCCAACCCCCCTGTCATGGGCAGGGACACTTCACACTAAACCGTGTCACCCAAGGCCCTGTCCAACCTGGTCTTGAACATCGCCAGGGATGGAGCATTCACAGCTTCCCTGGGCAACCCATTCCAGTGCCTCACCACCCAAACAGGAAAGAATTTCTTCCTTATATCTAACCTGAACTTCTCCTGTTTAAGTTTGAACCCATGACCCCTCGTCCTATCACTCCAGCCTTCTTCTCCTTCTCCCCTCCACATCAAACTGCACTCTCTCACCCAAGACCTCCCACTGTAGCTCTGCATTTCCTCCCTCATCTCGGCCTGCGAGGCCGCCAAACCCCGCCCCCACCCTGGGACTTCCCCGTGCACTTTCCTTCGCCAAGGCCCATCACCAGGAAGAGGGGTGGGGGAACCCCAGCAGCAGCCGCTGCCTCTCCCTACAGCTGTCCCGTTACCCGCCAGCACCGCCGCGGCGGCGCCCTCCGCCCGGCCCGGCCCCGCACCTGGTCGCAGACGAAGACGTCGGCCCACTCTCCGCTGAGCAGCAGGATATAGAGCGCCACGAAGGCCATGCGCAGGGCGGCACACAGCGCGTGTCCGCGGCCCCAAAGGCTGCGCGGCAGCCACCCGCCCGCCTGCCGCACCGACAGGCCGCGGGTCTCCGCGAAGCACCGCCCGGCGTCGTAGTGCGCCGTCCAGATCTGCACCCGGCAGCCCCGCGCCTGCAGCGCCAACGCCGCGTCCACCACCAGCCGCTCCGCGCCGCCCAGCCCCAGGTCCGGGTGCAGGAACAGCACGGACGGGCTCCCCCCATCCGCCTCCTCCGCCGCTGCCATAGCCGCTGCGCTCAGACCAGCGGCCCGGCCGCCAGCCACGCACTACACACAAAGGCGCATGCGCAGCCCAAAAGCCGCCGCAGGACACGTCAGCCATCTCCCCGGGCCCTACCGTTCGTCCTCCCATCGGGCTGTCCCGCCGCTGCCTGCCGCTTCGCCCCACGAGTTCTCCACTCGGCCGGCGCGGCCTGGTCGCTGGTGAGGGAGAGAACTCTACCTCGGAGCTACGGAGAGCCTGCTCGCTTGGAAAGGGGCTAAGGAGCAAGGTAGGGTGGGAAAAGAGGCCGGCAGTGCTCAGGCATCATCACTGGTAGCCGCAGGGCCTTGGGAGGCGCGGTGGGGGTGGGGCTTGCTGCGGGCAGGGACGTGGCCGGAGCAGCCGCTCGGGACTGTGTGTGAAGCTCTGTTGAGTGTTGAGCGTTGAGCCAGCGTCGGTACTGCTGCCATGGTGAGGTTCTGCCCCAGGCAGGGGGCGGCTGAGGCGGTTCCTCTCCCTTGGCTGTGTCCGCCGCCCCTTACCGTTTCCCGGCTCTCTCTTTTTCCCGCAGCCCGGGCCCAACCCCAGCGCTACGAGCGTCGGTTCCTCCGGCCGCTCCCCGAGCAAGGCCGTGGCTCCCCGCGCTGCGGGCTCCACTGTCCGGCAGAGGTAGGTTCTCAGAGTGGGGCAGCTCTCTTTCTCTACCGCCGTCCTTTGCACTTGGCGACTGGGCACACACAGCGGTGGGCAGAGGGGCTGAGCCGTGTGCTTCCGCGGGATGTGCGGGCAGAGCTCCAATGGGAGCCCTCACCGGGCCTCGGTGCACTTGGCTGTAGCCCTAGGAGGTGTTGAGTCGACCGTTGTGCTCTCCGCTTGTCTGGCTGCATAGGCTGATACCCTCCACTTGCCTAACTGTACGGTCTGATGCAAGTGTCTTCCTTCTTCACAGTCTCTTGGGGTGCTTAGTGCTAGAAGCTGGCTGACTACTAATGTGTTTTGGTCTTTGTTTCATTCTGTTGTACCCTAAAGGAAAAATGCCAGCTGCGGGACAAGAAGTGCAGGCCGTGCCACATCCACAGGCACTGGTGGGATGTGGCGATTCTACACTGAGGACTCTCCAGGGCTCAAAGTGTAAGTTGGGTGTATGGGTGGTGGCAGGCATGGGGGCTGTGTATTTCACCTGCTTCTGTAATCTTTCAGCCTTTGAACTGAGGCATCAGTGTTTTGGTGTGTATGGGAAAACGTGCTGAATTGATAGATGCTTAGATCTGGGACAAAGCATTTTACTTAATATGTAAATTTGGACAGGTAGTTCTAAAGTTTATAAAGTTTGTAATGGCTTTAAAAAGGTAGATACAAGTTACATTTTGTAATTGTCTAGTCTTGCCTTAAATGGTCATTGAAGACCAGCAGTCCATTTAAAGTTGGGAAAAATTTCTCATCACAGTTAATTTAGCATCTTTGTGCATGGTTTTGTTCTCTTTTAGTTAAAACTTTTGTTTTTTTTTCTTTATTAATAGATGTATTGTGTTCTTTCAACCCCCTTGAAAGCATAACTGATATGCCATGTACTTGCAGAATCTCAGATGTTTTTATTGAAGAGCTGAAGATAAATTATTTTACCTAAGCTTGCACAGCAAATAGTATTGTGGTATATCTCTATTTTTTACAAGGTGACTGTTCCAAGATTGTGGTCAGATAATAGCGGTAGTGTCCCTTAAGCTGTAAGGAGAGCCTAAGTTTTTAGGTTTTGGCTGGTTTGAGTCAATCAGATCACTTTCCCAAACTAGCTTTACAGCCAGATACTTGAATAACAAAGGTGGAAGGTGTATATCAGCTGATGGATGCATGCTAAGTCATACCCTCAGTGGGCATTTGTGCTTCCTGTAGAGTTATACTTGTTGGCCTCTTGGTCTTACTGGATTAAAGATAATCCATTAGTATTTTATTTGGGAGCTCTTTAAGGGGGCTGCTGCTGGCTGTGCAAACAGAACATTTGGGGAAGGGCTTGTGATAGTGATTGTCATGTGGGTAATCCTTCCTCAGAAGCTCTTATGTGTTTTTTCATTTTCATATGTGCTTGATTTTAAAAAACAAACCTTTAAAAAGAAACCATTGAAGTAGTGGTGCTCTACTACTTCAGGTTTTGCTTTCTTCATTCTGAATCCAAAAAGGAGGCAAGTTTAAGAAAAGAAAAAGCTGAAGAGCAGTAATAGTGTTCTAGAGTAAATCTGTGCAGATAGGCAAAGGCAGCAGTTTTCCATGTTGTTTGGTCTACTAAAGCTCAATTAAAAGTTAAAACCAAACTGAGAAAAAACAAGTGTTATTGTTAGGTAGATTTTTATATTGTTTAAATACTGTGATGCAAGCTGTGATGCAAGCTGTCAAAGCAGCTTTACCAATTTTAATAAGTTTCATTGTGACTCCTTTGGTATCACTTTCGGTGTTGAATGGCCACTTAATTGTTCTAAACTTTAATACAAGCAGGTAAGTAAGTAGATTTTTCCCTTCTATTTACGTTGCAACACAGTGGTTCCAAATTTTGAGGTTTTGGAACACTGGGAGTATCATTTGGGTTTTTTTGTTGTTTGCTTGCTTGGTTGGTTGGGGATTTTTCTGCAGGCTGCCATGGGTAGCTGTATGGTAAGGCTTTTAATGGATGAAAGCATCTGCACACCAGATGTATCACCTTCTGAACCATGGCTTGGGAGGAACATTCTTTCTTACAGATTTCCATGTATTTTTCTACATGTTTTTTCCATAACAACCAATTGTTATGTTCTTTGTCCTGTTTGGTAGGTTTTAAAGTAAATACAGGTTATAGAGGGGTTGTGGTTGCCTCAGTAAAGTGCTTCAGCTGAAGTTTTTAAAAATGTTTGTGATTGCTACTGCATACAGCAGTGTGAGAGCTTAGCGTGATGGTGTTTTGTTTTAATCCTGATGTTCAAAATATGGGATCTTGAAATTAGTATGGAAAAGAAGCACCATAAAACCACCTGAGAACAGGCTATTTCATGCTAGTTATGATTTTATATTCTGTGTAGTTATATTTTAGTCATTTAAAAGCTGTACTCAACATCAGAAGAGTATGTTGAACAAGCAAGTTTAGTTTGCCTTAGGAAAGTACATTTATCTGTAGTACAAGATCCTAGAACATAGGAATGCCTTTAAAAGTAATATTAGCAAAAGGGAGCTGTGGGGAATCTGGTTGAGAGTGGGACACAATATTTTTCTCTTTAAAACTCAGATCGAGCATTGTATACTGTGCAAGGAAGAGCATTGTATACTTTGCAAACCCAAACTTTTTGCCCTTTCTGTGGCAATTGATACCTGTGGTTCCTGTGTCTTGTCTTGTGCTTTCTTGTTTGAAGAGCTATTGGTGGTGTTTCCTGTGGGTAGAGAATCAATTTGGGCTTGTGATATAGTATACAACCTTATGAAAGACATTCTGAGAATGAACAGTGTCAAGTCTTAGAGGTGCCTGAATCTGTTTATTTAAACTGCGCATGGTGTGCAGAGAAGAATCAGGTGTATGGAGGAGAATGGCAAGGTTTCAGCAAATTGTCTTTGGGACTGGAGGAAATAAGATACATGTCAGTATTGAAAAACTGTTTATTTTGTCATCTGCAAGTTAAAAAAACTCAAAACAGCCAAACGGCCAACAAACATACAACCATCCTTCCCTTGTTTATGTCTGTGGTGTTCTGTTCTGGTTAGTGGTGCTTCTCTGTTCCCATGTGCTTTTGGCATAGAGTAGCTTTGCATGTTACTACTGCTAAAGGCTCAAAGGGATTAAATAGTAATTCAGGTACAGTATAAGACTGTGCACCTGATACCATTGCAATTTATATTGTGGAGAACATAAACTTCAAATACGTATAAAACACTGGGGATCGAGAAGTATGTTCTGTTGCTTGGTGAAACAAGCTCCTTGGTAGGGGTTGCTTATGTAGTCACTGTGCATGTATATTTTACTTTTTTATTTTATTTTGCATGTTTTGTCACTGGTTTATGTGATAAATGCTTTGTGTCTGTTCAGGGTTCTCCATACCCCAATAAATCTATGGTGGATAATAAATGAATTTTAAAACTCGATATAAGATTACAGTTACAAATATTTGAAGTACATGGACCATGATCTCATAGAAAAATGTGTAGTAAATTGTTTCCATCCACTTTCAGCTTCTTTCTGTGTACTTTCTTGTATTCAAGTAACAGCTGCTTATACACAGTAACCTGAAGGATACAGTTAGTCCAGGCTGGATAGCATAATTCATGTTGAAAATCAAAGTGAGATCGGTATGAACCAGTACTGAGTGCATGTAATTTTGTAATAGTGCAGATAACAGTATCTTAGCACAGTGTGAAACCACTGATTTAGTCTCTCACCGTGCTAAGATTAAATTGTCTTTTAAAAACATCACCATACAATTTCTAAACAATATAATAATGGGGAGGAAAAAGTTCAGAAATTTGTTAATTTATACATTCTGGGTAATGATTTAATGGTGGAGTTAACTTTGTCATTCTGTGTATCTTTCTGAAGGAAACAAAATCTCTGTTTCTCACCCAGTGTTGCCATTGTTTCCACAAGAAATAAAACCTCTAGAGAGAAAAAAAAAAGCTAATGTGAATCTTATGCCAAAATTTTACTAGCCGCTAGAGGACTCTGTTGTTTTTTGAATCTGACTACATCTCTGCTCAGGTGGCTGTCCAAGTAGTAAATGCAGTTGATAATTTTCCAGAGATTGTTTGTACAACATTGAGTAATAACGAACCATTAATGGCTTTTTAAATGAGTGATTTTTGTATTTATTATTATTATGTATTGTACTTTATAGTTATGTAACAATTAGGGTGTGTAAAACTATTTAAAAATGGGCAGCAGCAGTTTTTGATAGAGACGGATATCTCATTTCTAATACTTTAAGGTATTTCTATGGGAACAGAATAAGTTTTTTCGTACAATTGTTTGTGAATGATTAGTTCATTTGCCTGATAATGACTGACCTTTGGACAAAGCAAACTTTTTTTTTTATGTTAATGCATT